CCCCCCCCCCCCCCTGCTATTTATGAGCGTCTGCTATGGGCGAAGCCTTTCACTGCGTCACCCAGTATTGGCACAGAAACACAAACACACACTAATAAATGGTATAAATGAAGCAACAGGCATGAGGTGAAGGAGTTGGCACTGTGTAACTCTTGCTTGTTTTAATACACACCTTGTTTGACGAATGCATTAAGCAGATGAGACATCCAGATTACATTGTCTGCTTTGCGTGGTCGTGCTGTAACTGACTTAACTCCTACACATGTAATGGCACATTCTTTGCTAACTATTGTTAGGTATTTTTAGTCAGATAGAAATTAGATAGATACTTTATGTATTAGAAATGTTTAGTGGAGATAGGATGTCTAGTTAGACTGTTAAATGCTTAGTCATGCTTATGAGTTTCTACAGGGTACATCTGGTCAAGGATAACTAGAGAGAAGAGTTGATGACTGTCAGCAGACAGGGTGTTTAATATTATTATTATGACGTGTATAACTGTAGCCTTAGCCATAATAGGTTCTTATGTTTAAGCCACGACATGTTACTAGAGGTCGTGAGAATGTTTTTAGCTACACACCACTTAACCAACAGACACACACACAGTTTTGAAGTTACTTGGACTGTCTCGTCTCTCAGAGTTAGCAATGGTAAGAAGAACTGGAGCACAACACTATGTTGTAGATTCCGAGCCAGAGGGTTGCTGGGACAAATTTGACAGCTGCCATGGCTCATTATCTGTTAAAGGGGACACTGCTTTGCTTTGTGCAAATGTTACTTGCAGTAACCTCGCACATTGCAAGCTGTCAGTGTAATATGTTTGGCCCTTTTTGCTTTCAAGATGAGAGTGTAAGTGGATATCCGAGGAAAAGTTCCTCTGCGTTTCTTGATTTATGTCAGATGTACAGTAGAACACCAGCAAACAAACATGTGCAGCACATTTTTACATTTGTGAACATGCTTTCACATATTTTAAAAACTATCTGCAGAAAGGAAACATGCTAGTTTATTTGACTAGGCTGCCTTTCCCTTAATTTTCTTTTTCTCTGTCTCATCCTGACCCAGATTTGAACATGGACTCCTTCAGCACCAAGAGTTTAGCCCTGCAGGCGCAGAAGAAGCTAATGAGCAAGATGGCCACAAAGAGCATGGCCAACCTCTTCATCGACGACACCAGCAGCGAAGTGCTGGACGAGCTATACCGCGTCACCAAGGAGTACACACGCAACCGCAAAGAGTCCCAGAAAATCATCAAGAACTTGATCAAGATGGTGGTGAAGCTGGGAGTGCTCTACAGAAACAACCAGTTCAATAGTGAGGAGCTGATCCTGGTGGAGAACTTCAGGTAGACAGAGCGATGAAAGGAATAATTTGGCAGTTTCTAAAATGCATGTATTTGCTTTGCTTTCTTTTCAGAGGCTGCCTGAGAGGAATGATACCACTTGGAGATAAAAGATAGATGAAAAAACAGTCTATCAGCCCATCCAGCACTTAAATACGGTGTTTCGCAGGTTATCGGCCAACCTTGCTGTGATTACAAGATTTCAGGAAGTCACTGAGCTCAGCTTTTTTCACCCCAGTGTTAGTTACAGAATAGAGCTCTGTTGTCCACCAGATTGGAAAATTGCCTCAGGCTAACCAAAACATAAACACAACATAAGACCAGGTGCCATGTAAATCAAGTAACATATTAAACAAATGTGCTGACTGTACTTAAAGTGAAAGATCACTATGGCAGAATTTGTCTTTCATGCCAACAACAACGATCAGCAAGGCAGTACAAACAATTAACACTCACACATATTGAAATGTCAGCAGTGCAATATGTGGATATTTACAGCTGCTTGTTCATTATACTGACTGCATTTGGCACAAATGATCCCTTATATATCTTTGTACTAGCCAGAGGTGTCCTGTGCCATCATCCCGAAGGCAATGATTCAAATTCATAATTTTCCATCTGTTCCTCTTGCTTTCAGCGTGCACACTCAGTTGGCCACTGCTTTGGTCCAGACTGAAGTTATTTCAACAAGTTCTGGATGGATTAACATGAAATTTCTTAAAAACATTCATGGTCCCTAGAGGATGAATGTTACTGACATAGATGGACACTGTATTGATCCTGAGGGAAATTCAGGTATCCATTAGCAACAGCAATGGTGACCAAAATCACAGCATCCCAAGAACATTTTTTTTATAAAAGTATAAGATTACAATACAAGTGAAACAAGTATTTAAAAAAATAAGACAAGTAGAGTAACATACTGTATGTGTGTATGTATGTGGGGGTACTTTGTGTACAATGCCAGTATGTGTAGGACTGAACACTCTGTGCAAGGACAAGGGGGTACACAGTGCAGTAGTATAGTGTCATAGTGAGGTAGGATCATAATATTATGGAGCGGAGTAGTGATGTCACATGTCCATGTCCAAAAGTCAGATCAGACCTCCTCACTGGGAGGAGTTGAGTCTTATGGCCTGAGGAACAAACGACTTCTTCAGTCTGTCCATGGTAAGGAGAGAGACAGCAGCCTACTGCTGAACGCACTCGGTGATGACCATTGTCCAGGATGGACAGCAGCTTACTGAGGGTCCTGAGGAAGTCCAGCTCTATACCTGCTACAGAGTCAGCTCTCCTCACCAGCTTCTCTAGCCATTTGGTGTCTCTCTTCTCAATGCTGCCTCCCCAGCACACTACATTGTTGTATATATTCCTTGTTACATAGGCCTAACTGTAATTTGAAATATTTTAACACTATCTTTAAGAAATTTTCAATGTCAAAATAGTCTTTTATTCGACTGAAAGTCACAAAATGCTAAACAATGCAGGTGCATTTTGAAGTGTTTTAACTAATTATCTTGTAATGAATGTCACTTCAGTTCTACTTTCTGAGTATGAATTGTCAGAGGCAGGCTAGCTGTCCTCGGCTCTGTTTGCATCCTACTCCATAAATCAGACACAGACATGACAGATCCCCTCATCCAGCTCTGAAAAGGGAGCAAATGTTATTTAACAAATTAATTCCTTTAAAAATCTATAGCTACATCCTACCATATATTTAAACTATGTTAATATCAAAAGTTGACAAACCTAGAGAAACAAAAATGATGTGGTTCTGCTTGAGAGCTTCATATGTAGAGGGCTGGTGGTCAAGTACATCTTTGTGTGCTGATAGAAGCAAATTAAGGAAATGGACTTTTACATCAGTGTATATATTTTTCACTAAAATAGTAAAGCATAGCTTGGAGGCATTTGAAGCTGACATAAGTGCAGAGTATGGAGAATGGTGATTGTATTAGCATGGGAATGTATTGGTGTGAAGAGCAATGCTGTTATGGGGGGTTGTGAAACTTTTCTGAAGGAACTCATAAGACAGCAGTTTCTATTTTTATGTGCTTTTGCTGCTCTGGTCGAAAATAGAAACTGACTCTCTCTCTGCTCTCTCTTTGTCTCACAGGAAGAAAGTCCACACTCTGGCCATGACGGCGGTCAGTTTCTACCAGATTGAGTTCACCTTTGACCGCCGCGTCATGAGCTCCATTTTGAACGAGTGCCGCGACCTTCTGCACCAGGCCATCAAACGTCATCTGACAGCCAAGAGCCACTCGAGAGTCAACCACGTCTTCAACCACTTTGCCGACTGTGACTTCCTAGCAGCTCTGTACGGGCCCTCGGAGGTTTATCGTGCTCACCTGCAGAGGATCTGCAATGGGGTCAACAAAATGCTTGATGACGGGAACCTCTGACCTCCGTTGGCCTCATCCTCAAGCACCTGTACCTCTGGTCACCTCTCATGTAACATCTTGGAGGATTTCTTTTTTTATGTGACAATCATGAACACTCTTATTTTTCATTTGTTGGTTTGTGTGTGCTTTTCAGATATTACTGTAACACTGAAATTCTATTGGCTAGTTAGTCCAAAGCCATTTCTCCTCCAGCCTGATTTTTTGTTTTTGTTTTTCACAGTTAACAAAACCCAGCAGATGGTTTTTGTTGTTGTTGTTGTTTTTTAATGAATGTACAACTTCATGCTCTTATCGATATATTCAGGTATAGGAGCCTTGACAGCTGTGCCTTGAAAAAATGTATTTCTCTTCCTTCCACGGGCAATATCCTCGCTCTTACTTAATCAAAATGATATGAATCCAGGTGCAGGCCTTCAGTTATATTTTCTTTAGGTGACTTTTTAATGGATGAAAATGTTTCTGGGAGCACCAGGAGAGGAAAGAAAGTATATTTTGATTGTTTTCAAATGCCCTAGGACATAAAGAAGTGATATATGGGGGGGGGGGTTAAATATAATATTGCACTCAATCCTAAACATGCGCTGTAGTGTACTTTCCTACGACAGTGAAACCATGTAGAGCACAGTAGCTGAGTGATCCTGCTTAGCCTGCATTCTACAGCTCTCACCATCATGCACTGAACATAGCAGACAGGCCAGGCTTTCATTTAGAGGGCACCTATAAACCCGGTTTTGCTTTTAAGAGTCTGGTTTATCACCATCACAACACTTATGAAGTATTTGGGTCACAGGGAGACCATAAACATGAAGGTATTTGATTGTGCTGTGTGTTGCAGATTGTATCTGAGCTGACTCGAATATCTCGGTGGATGTACGCTTGTCTGCTCACGAAAATTTTACCTTTGTGTCTATAAATGTCACAGTCACAGCAGGGGGAGCGGCACAATGTTGCACCAGGTGCAAAAATTGCTCTGGCATTTTATCACAGGGAAATAAAGCACTAGAGCAGGCATAGTACGCATCATAATAGATGTTAGAGCCCAGGGTCAGCTGTGTTTCAGATTTATCTGCGTTGCCTCAGGTTTATCCTAAAAGCACTAAAACTCTCATTCGAATTCTGACAGATCTGAACTAAAAAGACTCCCCATGAGCAGTCAGATGAAAGGCTGGATGCAAACTGCAGCTCAGTGTCTGTGAAAAGAGCCAGTCAGGGTATAGAGATTAGAACAGAGGCAAACACACAGTACCTGATTGTGCTCTCCCACTGCAATTATCGCTCCCTGCTCTGGGCTAGTATAATGACCTGAAGTCTGCCTCCGTGGACCAGCCACTCAATTTCCCCACACAGTAACCTCATGTAGTGTGATGGAGACAATGTCTCGGTTTACCCAATTTGAGTCCTTTAGTGAAAGATGTTGTTTCTAGCATGTAAATAGTTACTCTTTCCAACCTCGCATAATAACCGTCTTTCCGTTTTGTCCATGTGTTTCTGTCTCACTGAGCCTGTCTGGGAGAATTGTTTTGCGGCCTCATTTTGTATTCCGTGCGTGTGTGCGAGCATGTGTTTGTGTGTGTACCTGTGAGACAACTGGAAATTGAGTCGTGTAATAAGCGCTGTGCTTTTCCAGATAGGATTGCTGAAACTTTAACTTCATCCACAGCAGCTCTGCCAAAGAAATAAGACCAATGTTATTTTGAAGTCTTTCTCCAGAGGAAAAGAGAAAACGGTATGCACTGGTGATAATGAAGACAAAGGTAGTGGCTGATGTGGTTTCTGTTATTTTTTTTTTAATTCACCCCTTTTACTCCTAGATGACTTAAGTGAGTATATTGTTATTTAGACCCATTTGACTCTGTCATTCTAGGAGGCTTTAAAGTAAATCCTTTTCCCTATACATCCCCCACAACAGTTGATTTTAGTTGTCTTTAGATGCCATTTTCTCCATTCCCTCTACATCTCAGGGTTAGTTTAAATCTCACTTGGTTTAAAATCCATGCTGATAGAAAGGTTAGGAACCTCTGCAGCAGCCCCATTTATTTTACTAAAGCCTACATGTCATGTTGCATTTTTGTGAAATTTGTTTTTTTTTTTTGTTTTTTTTTACTTCTGTGCATATTTAATGTTTTGTGTCTCTGTATTGTATCTATACACAGCAAATATAACATACTTTTAAAAAAGAATACATTTGTCTTTTTTTAAATCTCTTGGTCCAGCACCCTGTCTTCTCATAAGTATGTTACACGGTGGGATTTTCCAGCCAGATCAGGAGGGTAATCTGTGTATGTATGACCAGGATTTAGTCGACCAAATCCCTTCCTCCTTCTCCTGGCATTGTTAGGAAGCCATGACAGCAAATACAAACCCATCTGACAGACAAATAATTCACGTTTTGTCTCACTGCCTACAGTCCTTCAAAGGCATATCACATATTTAGTATGAGGGAAAGACTTTTTGCTTCTGTTTTTGGAAACTGGAACATTCAGCTCTGCTGCAGTTTAACACTCACTGTGAGTTTAGTTTGCGTTTAATCTGTCAGTGACTTTGCTGCTTCTCAGACTTTGTAATGATAATTTGGCCTGGGGCACATCTGCAGATCCTCTTTGCAGCAACATTTGAAAGGCCGCTGCAGTACCAAATATTCAATTATCCTCACTGCACTGGTTTTTTTTTTTTTGTTTTGTTTTGGGTTTTTTGTGTGTGTGAACGCATCCTTGAGTTGAGACATTTATGTTGTGACTAAACTGAGATGAGTGGCTCTCACTCACGTCCTATTTTAGAGAACGTGTAAATGGTACAAGTATTTGGAGGGGAAATAAAAGTTGTTTTTTTGTCTGGTCTCGCTTAAACATTTTCTAAAAATTAAAATTTCAAAATGATGGCCACAACTTGATTATCAGCAGATATGAATGAGGGCTCTAAAATATTTTGTTGAAACTAGCTTCCACTGGGGTATAATTATCATTTCTCCATAATGAAGTGACTACAAAGGAGCTGTCCTGCATTCTAAGGAGGAGGGGACAAAAATGATGAAGCATACAGAGGAACCACTACTCTTTCCACTCATGTTCAAGTGCAGATTACTTAGTTGTGATTTGTGGTGCAGACTCCTAAACAAAGTTGAGCAGAGCTGTTGTAGCATCACACTTTATTCTAGGATCAAACACGATTCTCCTGTTTGAGTGCGTACGCATACAGCCCTGCTAGAAAGGACAAACCAACCTGGGTTTTTGTGGTCCATCCCTAAAAGGACACAGCCAGTTAGTTTTGGCATAACATTGCACAGTCTAAATCCCTGTATGCAGGCACAAACACCCTAATGTTTGAGTTCTGGGCGGTGCAAGTAAACAAACTTCAGGGCATTGTTCAAACAGCAGGCAATGTCATAAATCACACAGTGACTTTTCTACTTTTTTATCATTAATGCTGGTGAAAACACCTTTCAGACCTAATGAGAATAAAAAAGGACTGGGATTGCAGTCAAAAGATGAGTGGTATTCGAAGAAACTGCAAAATGATATAGCTATTTCTGTGATGATAGCTTTATTGTGCTTTTCAAAAAAATCCACAGTAGAAATTTGTATTTGTTGAGCGGCATTATGTCCTCAGCAGCAGATAACTGAAGCAGAAACAAATGAGTTATTGTCTGAATATAACTGAGATTACATACAGTATGCAAAACATTTTGCCACGTTTTAATTTAGTCACCACATTGCCTGTTTATGTTCATTTCTATGGAAATCCATGTGTTCAGGCCAATATCCCAGCCCAACAGTGACGCCCATACTTTCTAAATCTTATTACAGTGTGTGCAAAGTGTTAAGAGACCCCCCCCACCCCTTTAATAGGACCTTTGTTGACCTTTTGAGCACTTCCAAATTTTTTCTCAACACCAATCTTAGCTGGCAGAGCAGAGCACTGCTTATTATGTATTACTTTGCTTTTGTAGTCCCTCCACATCGTTACTCATCCAGTATGCTTAAAGGTGTTCTCCCCTCTGGCAAGCACAGCTATGACAGTCAGCTTGGAAGTTAGAAGTCTTTCAAAATGCTTTTTCCCTTGTCTTTCTACCCCCTTTTTTCTCTGTCACTGTCTTCCTCTTTCTTGGTGCCCCTACGTCTCTCTCTTCCTCTCTCACTCTGGTCCTCAGAGAGCACCTGACTGACGTGTTGTTCAAGGATGAAGAGCACGGCGGAGGGGAATCCAAAAGCAAACAAGGCAAAAATATACATGAGAGGATGGAAAAGACATCGTTCTACACAGACACACGCACACACATAGAACTCCGTACTGAAGCCCTGGGGATTATCACCACTGGACACTTCAGGGAAGAGAGCATCTGCTCACTTCTATATTTAACACCACAAAAAAAGAACACTGTGTTCTCAGGAAACTTCTCATTGTATGAATACAGTGTTAAATACTGAATACAGTTGCATGAAGACATATAGTCCCTTCCAAACTACACATTTCTGCTGTCCAGGTAGCTATACAAGCTCCCCCAGTGCCCAGAGGCGTTCATACTGTGAATAAAAGGCATTTTGCACAGGAAATTTTGACAGACACGGGGCCTTTTTCCTCTCAAAGCATTGCTTTCACATCTATCTTTTCCACCAAGTTACAGTGTGTAAGTGGAGTGCTCTCTCTCTCTTCCTGCCTGTCTCTACTTGAAGAAATTCAACCAGGAAACTGTATCTGCAGTGGCAGTAAGGTTAAGCTAACACACACGCGTGCAGCTGAAGCATCTCAGCACACACACTCTGCTTCTCAATGGGCAGTCGGCCTGTTATACGATTCAAAACAAGCTAGGAAGAGCTACAGGAGGCAGCAGACAAGGTTACAAGGAGGCCATATACTCTGTGTATCTTCCTCCTGCTTCCAACTGTTCCAGTGATACATGATGGTGACAAAAAAGCCTCATGTTTACAAAGTTTGCACAAGAAGGCAACATGTAAAAAAGACTAAAAGGGAGAATCTTCCCATTTTACACCTTTTTTGATCAATAACACACATATTCAGCATATAATGGATGGAGCAAAGGCAACTGGATGCTAGAGGCTGCCCCACCAGCCCTAAATGGACAGCAGCTGTGATGGCTACTTATTCCATGTTGACTTTAAAATGAGCAATGATTGTGTGTTATTTATGGGCCTCACAAAGTGGGTGGCTGATTGGAGGAAAACTGACTCTTAATAGACACGAATTCAAGGTCACATACACACAGAAATACATTCAAGCTGTTGTTTTTCTACAATCAACAATTTTGTCATTTCCCAGTGATCAACTTTTTGTGAGCTAAGACAAACATCATGTTGTTTGTATGCCCAGTGGGATTTTCAGTATATTCTTAAAGTAATATTTAATCATTCAGTCTATCTAAAAAAATGTAGAGATATCTGGTTTTCACTGGAACGTGACCTATATTGTCTTCATCTTATTGAGCCCCTGTGTGTGTGCATGTGTGTGTCTGCATCTATGTTTTATTTAGCTTTTATCTCTCTATGCAACACTTTGAACTACTTTTATATGAGACTGTGCTCTTCAAATAAACTTGAATGTTTAATCATGATTTCAAAGTGAATTTCAGTTTGAAAATCTCAATATGTAAAATTTTTTAAACATGAACATGCAGACACATTCATATATGGATTCAGAGTTCCATTTTAAATCCTAAACAAACCCCATCAAAGCACACGGACAGACTTTGGGTGCGTGCATCAGTATGCCATGAGGAACAAGAAGCTCTAAAGGATTAACAGTGGCTGTTCTATTAACTCCACACGTCATTGTTTTTTTTTTTAGTTATCTAGACCAGCGGTCATTACATCCTGACAGCAGTCTGTATGCAGGAATCTGCTTCCTCCAAGCCCATGTCTCTTCTCTAGCCCCATGTACCTACACTGTGTAGTAGTACATGTCAGTGATGAATGAAGTGAATGGAGTCATATTTTAGCAGGGCACTAGCAAAGGAATATATTGCCATGCTGACTAGCAGAATGACAGATGCTTTGAGTTTCTTACTGCTGAGTGGCAGCAAACTGTCAGAGCTTTTGTATGGTTTTGCTGCTGTCTTTTCATTTTGGGTACTGCTAGAGAGGGAGGGACTCATCCGTGCAGCCGCAGCTGAGTGAAAAGCACATAGGAGGCATCTTTGGGCTTGTCAGACGCAAGATATCTAATCCAGACGGCCAAGAATTGAAATTAGAATGAGAATCCCCAAAATAGCAGCTGTCTCTGCATAATTGGAACAAATGAAAGTTGGATATGCTGCAAAAAATTAAATAAGAAAACAACTGGGATGTAATGTGACACTATTTGCTGACAGTTACAATAAGCTGGGGAGAGCCATGCCACAGACAGGCTGTTGTTTGTAGCTGGAAAGCTTATAGTTTCTGTCAAACTGCTGCTCAGCCCAAAAATCCTTCTCTATTCCTTTAAACCCCCTCTGATAGCCTATCCTAAACAGCATTTAATTTGAAGGGCTGAGCCAAGGAAGGAGTAATCAGATGAGAAGCGAGACAGGGGGAGTCATGTGGTAATACATTCGTTAACTAGGGATTAATAACTCTGGCATCTTGACTGAAGTTCAGCTGCTGTCCCTGGCAAATGGGAAGTGGGGATAAGAAGGAGAAAGACATAAAGGGGAAGACAACAGAGAGAGTTCCACAGAGAGGGAGATGAGTCGTTCTCAGATAAGAGCGGAGAGTAATGGGCAGAAGAGACAGGGATGGGAAGAGAAGAGGGAAACAGAGAAAGGGAGTTAGAACGGTGAGAGGGAGTGGGAGGAAGAAAGAGCGAGGATAGGAGGCAGCGCAGTGCAGTGCGGGGGGAGAGAGAGACAGAAGGGAGTGAAAGAGAGAGAGCGAGAGAGATGTAGAGACAGGGAGAATCCGCTGCTAGTGAGCCAGTGAGATGCAGGCAAGCAGAGGGAGACAACACCGAGAAAGAGGCCCTCAGTATCTCCAAGGCTGGCCCGATGAGGGGGTGAGGGGCTCAAGAGCACCACAGCAGAGAGGATAGTGGGAGGAGAATCAGAAACGGAGGGAAAAGCAGAGGGAAAACGGCTGGGTGATAAAATCAGAAACAGGCTTCAGGGGGGAAAAGGGGAGTGGGTGGGTGGGATCTGGGTTCTGAAGATGGAAAAAGCAGATAAAAGTTTTGGAAACAGAGTTGGAGAGGGAAAGGGAAAAAGAAAAGAGACTGAAGACAGTGGACAGAGTCTGTGTTAATGGCAAAGGTGGGAGGAGATTTATGGAAAAAGAGGAAGAAACTCTCTGAGTCTCAGGAGTCCTGTTCCTCTTCTGCTGCTTCTTCTTCTTTCTGTGAGGATACTGGACATCATCATCATCATCACCATGTTCTCTGACAGCAGGGCCTCAGAACCTGGAGAGCAGAGAGGCTTCAAGCCTCACACCCCTAACTTCATCCCGTGGCTGCGCAACAGTTTGAAACCCAACCACAGCAGTGACCTGGGGCTCAGCGGACCGTACAAATCCAGCTCTGAGGCCCCCACCACCTTGCCCACCCTGGAGAGAACCAAAGGGATTGGCTTCTTCTCCATTCAGGGAAAGGATCGGGTAAAGAAGGGTGAACTTCGGTTTAATGGTGTGGGGATGGCAAGGATGCTGCCGGTGGTACTGAGGGGGCATCATATTCTGCCAGGGAGCCTGCGGAAGCAAAGGGAAGACAGGTGGAGCCAGTCTCCAGAGCAGGACACAGATCCCACCACGCAGACCAGCCCAGGGAATGGGCCGCAGGGTCTGGTCAACAGCTCTGCCTCTGCTCAGGATAACCACAGCTTTGTTAGGACCCACAACAGCCACCTGAGCCTCCTCCAGTCCCAGAATGACAGGACAAGCACCCCAGTGAGGAAATATGGGACACTGGTAGGACCCCATCCTGTTCCTGCTCCTACATTGCTCACTGAGGAGCCAAACTGTAAGGTGCCAGTTGTGGTGTGCTTGGAGGACAGGAGGGGGAAAGTGTGGGACTACACCAGCCATACCACTTACCATCAGAGTGACCCTCATTCATCCAGCTGGCTCAGCTCAGACACTCAGGGACTAATAGAGAGGCACCATGACTTTAGCTACATCAGACAACAGAGCAGGAACTCCCAGAGCCAGCGAGACCTGACAGCACTGGGAGAACCACCTGTAGAGCTTTTCAATGGGCCCCTCAATGGAGGCATCTTCTCCACTGAGGTTCCTCAGAGAGGCTGTATCACAACCCCCCAAGACCCTGGGGAACCCAGACCAAGTTCAGGTCGCAACAGAGAGGGGGAGTCACAGAGGAAGGAAGCCGACTGCAGCAGGATGGTGGTTCGAAACCAGATCAAACGTGTGGTTGACAACCTGGAGCACGTTCTTACAGCGCTGTGGGACATTCACCAGGAAATGAAAGAGGTGAGATTACAGATTCCTGTTGATTTCGCAGAACTCACAAGACTGAATGAGATAAACCCAACAAAACAAAAGCAGTTTAGTGTTTATTCAACCATTTCACAGAATAGATTATCGCATTTCTTTCCAAGACTCAAAAGAACAGGGGCAGAGAACACCCTCTCACATTAATTTAGACACTTTTCTCATGCAGGAAACATTCATTCTTATGTTACAAAAAACCTAGAGGGCTTGTTCTCTTACAGATAACAATGCAGGCTCCAAATGCACATACAC